GGTCAAGCCACAAGCTCTCCAACTCAATTAAGTTATTAACCCATTTTACTACGGAGTATTCCATCTTTGCCAAATAGGTCCATGGTGCCGAAAATGTGAATTGGTACTCCGTACTTAGGCATGACTCAAACAGGAGACTTTGTACCGGCAGCGGAAAGTACAATCCGGTGCCGCGGTGATGGATAACAATCTATTCAACTAGTACTACAATTTAGTGCATTACCCAGTTTTGATCACCTTGATAGTGGGTCTTGACCTTTTACGCTAGTTGACCTCTTTTAATAATCTCCCAAAGAAAATCCTCTATAATCTAATCGACCTGTGTCTTTTTGTCTCATGCCTAGGGCGGCAAAAGGTACCATTTTCCCATTCCCCCGGCCCCCCCTTCCTAGTTCCGCCCTGTCTTTAGGCCCTGTTTAGTCCTGCGACTATCACACCTGCCATCGATCATGTGAGCTGCACCATGCCAGGATAATCAAGGACCTTCCGACCTCTCCCCTGTCCCGCGGTGAGGGAACACTTTCCTATTGGATTATTCGGAATCCATCGTCTACGGTATCTGCACCGTCCAAGGTTGTCAATCAAGTTACCAGGTACATAGACATGGAACGAATGCCTATTGGAAGCTTGAGTGCGCCGTACTGAGACATTTGAGCCTAAAACTTATCCCCGACAGACTACAGCGTTAGACAAGGTCTAGATAACTCAATGCCAGGGAATTTGTGTGGGCTGTGGGCTGTGGGCGTCAACGTGTGGGACACGTAAAAAAGAATTATGGTGTTAGCCAAGTATCATGGATGGGAACATGGAAGTATCTCTGAGGGCTTTTGGAAATGATGCAGGTCGGGTTCTAGATAGGTATCCTCCTGGGTGTCGAGACAGATTACAGAATGCGCTGTCGAGAATTGATCTCTCCAGCTGAAAATGTGTTATGACTTTGTTGCATGCATGTCAGCTGTAGTCATATTTCATTATAGCCAACGTCACTGTGCGCCATTGAGTAGAGCATATCTATAGGCCCATGTATTAAAAGACACAGCTAAGCCGTACCACTTCAACAAGCCACGTCCATGTCTTCAGGTCTCCAGCACAATGGTCAGCAGGTGAGAACGTGGTACTCTGTACGCCGGTGTCGCATAGCTGGCGCAGTCATTGGTGACATGAGCAGGAATCTTAGTTTGACTTTCTTTTTTTTTGGAATCCATAAGCAGCCAAGTCGGGATCTCAATGGTGATCCTTCGGGATGCATCTGCAGCCAATATCAGCGCTGACATCACCTCATCATCGGTAACTGTGATCATGGCGATGACAGGGATCGTCTCGTCAGCTTATTTGACAGGTTGACTTAAGTTGATGTAGTCCCGACGCTCCGGCTCCAATGGTTCTGGAAGTCCTGCACCGACAATCCTTACCGAACTCTATGTGTCACCGACGACTGGTCTTCATGGAGATTGCTTCAAGGAAATATAGCCATATTACTTCGTTAATACAATTTTTCTGTGGCGTCTGCACTGCGATGCTGATCGAGCAACACCTTGAAACTGACCCTACAACATAAGCACCGTTCAAAACAAGCAAGGATTCATTAAGTCCTTGTTTTAGATAATTTCAGCTTTCAAGCCGAAGACAGGCGAGCTTTGTTTCCATTTATGGCTGCGGAAACTGGGAAATAGAGTCCCCACAGTGCCATTGCATAGTGAGGCGATGATGGTAGCCACTCTGCTTGGTCGCGTTTGTCTCTGATCTCACCAAGACGGACACTGTAATCCGTATATATCTCGAGCACTCAAACCAAAATACTGTGTCTAGACTCGATCTGGAAGCGATTCGACAACTCACGTCCGAGACGCGTCACGCAAGTACGAGAAGCACTCTGAGTCAGCAAACTCTTGATAGTGAAGCGCAGATTGACATTGGGGGGTGGGCCGGAACGCTGACAGCTCTGGACTTGAGAGTTTCGAGCCCGGTTGTTCGGAGTGTGTGTCGATCCTCGCGTCCACCATTGACTAGACAAAAGTACTTGGCATCGATGTTTCCACTTCCCCGTCTTCGATCAGGATAGCTGGTGGGTTTGCGAGGTAATCACGTACTTTTGCGCGCCAGGCTCCCTGGATCCGGGGCAGCTAGGGTGAGTTAGACATGCATCTAGCCCTTGCAAGTTAGGACCATGGTTCTGGGCCCAATAATAGACTCAGGTTCTTAGCAACTTAGTATCCTAGGTCACATTCTCAATTGATATCCAGGATTTTCTTCGGCAGGCTTTAGCTGATCGGCGATTGATTGGTTCCATTGATCTGTCATCATCACATCTCGTCCGATCGAAGCTGCATTGCCCCCAAGCTAGGCCCAAAGGTCGTATGCCAAGCAGTTGACATGTAGAATTTGGACGGTGTGTGACAACTCTGTTACTATTTCAGCAACCAATTAGGACACACGATAGCTGGTCTGATTGGCCTTGTTCGTGCATTTGGTAGTGAGCCACAATAATCATGACCAGGTAGCTGGGGTTTTCATTTCCATGCTCGCGAACAGGGTTGTAAAATCAAATGCAGCCTTCAATAAGATTCAAGCAAGATGAGTGACTCCGTGAGGGCGAGTCTGCAAGGCACCAACTACTATCGCTATCTACACGTGTTGATAATTGTTATCACCACGTGATACTATCGCAAGAATCGAGATTCGAAAGAAGCTTCACTAACGACGTTTTGCTTCATAGTATCTCTCTTTTTGTTTCCGAGTGAGAAAGTCGGGAATGTCGTTATCTCGCGCAAATTTAGTGTCTATGTCCTAGATCAGAGTTCGTTCTCCAGGATGAACCACGCCGAGACTGCGATCTGAAATAATGACTTCAAGAACAAGTCTTTTGTTGTCGTTTCCTTCTATCCTTCAACGAACCGCGCGACCACTAACCTCAGAAATATCATACCTGAGAGTTGCCTCAGTACGTGGTAGATGGTACAGCAGCGACCGGGGCTCATCGCAACCGAAGGAACGATCAATCGCCGCTCAAGATGCCGAAAATCCGACTGACCTTTCTCACCTGAATCCACCGCCTGACGATTATTCTCGGTTCATATTTCAGGACAAATGTCGATCGACAATATATGCTGGGTCGGGTGGCAACGGATGTGTCTCGTTCCTGCGTGAGAAGTACATCGAAGAAGGTCCACCCAACGGGGGCGACGGTGGAAGCGGCGGAAGCATCTACATCCAAGCTGTCGAGGGCATTACTAGCCTGCACAAACTTGCTCGTCGAGGAGTAATCAAAGCCGGAAGGGGCAAAAACGGACAAGGAAAGAGCAAAGGAGGCAGGCGAGGAGAGGATGTCCTGCTTCAAGTTCCCGTTGGGACGGTCGTGCGAGAGGTAGACCGATACGACCCAGTGGCCGAGGAACTCAAGCGACGAAAGGCACCTGCAGTTGATGTCGACGAGCTCGATGAGATTGGGCTGCCCTCAGTCCGTCATGATCGCTGGGTGCTCTACCCGGGCTCCAATCCTTCCGATTACCTGACCACTGTCTTTCCAAGGAATCCGCCTCGAAGGCAAAATATCGCCGCTATGGAACCCAAAGCGCCCATATACCTCGACCTCTCAAAACCAATGGATAAGCCGATTTTGCTGGCCGCCGGCGGCGTCGGCGGTCTGGGCAATCCCCACTGGGTATCTCGTTCGATCACTCGGCCAAAGTTCGCTTCGAGGGGAGAAGGGGGTATGCGCCTGGAGCTTGAATTTGAATTGAAGCTGCTTGCCGATGTTGGATTAGTCGGGAAGCCGAATGCTGGGAAAAGCACGCTTCTTCGGTCATTGACCAACAGCCGCACGCGCGTTGGAAATTGGGAGTTCACCACGCTCTCCCCCAGTATCGGGACTGTCGTTATCGATGACCACAAGGGAAGGCCGCTTGTTGAAGCCAAGGGAAAAGCAATGCGGACCAACTTCACCATAGCAGACATTCCAGGTCTGATAGAAGGCGCTCATCTCGACCGCGGTCTTGGATTAGGCTTCCTGCGACACATTGAGCGGGCGGGTATTCTGGCCTTCGTGGTAGATTTGAGTGCCGGAGACCCTGTGCAAGGCCTTCAGAATTTGTGGCACGAGCTTGGCGAATATGAACGGATACGTAACACCGAACCTGTCTTCGAAAGCGAAGATGAGTGGCAACCGACTGGAGGTCTGCCTGAACTCGCTTCACAAAATCCCGTGGACGACTTAGATTCTTCTTGGAATTCTCCCACCAATACCTCTGACAGTACGAAAGGGCAGCTCCCTTCCCTTGAACTTCCGCCTATTCACACAAAACCTTGGTTTGTCGTGGCTACCAAAGCCGACCTGCCAGAAACTCAAGACAGATTCAAGACCCTGCGGGATTACCTCGCTACCGTTCAAAATGGTGCGGTTGACCACCCAGGAGGATACCCAGACGGTTGGAAAGAGAAGGTCTGCGCCGTTCCAGTAAGCGCCATAAGAGGCGAGGGAGTCAGTCGAATACCAAAGCTTGTTTTGGAGTTGCTAGACTGAGCCTATGTTGCATCGGCGATGACATCTGGAGGAGTTAAGGAAATGATGATTTCTGTATAATAGGTAGAAAATGGTTTATATGGTCGAATTCTTCTGAGATATGTATATAAATTGTTGTATAATTCACTAGAATGGGGTTCATCTACTTGAATCCGCACTCCAATCCCAGTCACATTAAAAATAATCAATGCTTTTGGTTTATTGAGTATCTGTTTTTTACATATTGTTCCTCGATTGAAAAGACCAAAACAGATAAACACTATTGTACTTCGTAGCATGGTGATTCAATTCAATTGTACTCACTTGCAATGACGTCGCTTTCACTAATTAATGTGTGGAGTGAAGAGGAGGAAAACACGGTTCAAAAAGCACAATTGCAGTGAGAATCCTCTGAGCCTACTTCTATCATCTACTGATCTCTATCTCTCTCGGAACTTATATGCTCTGACTTCATGACTCTCTAATCCTTCCTTGTGCAGAGATGGCGCATCTCAGCTCCGTGGTCGCCAACGCGCTGGCCGCCCTCACCAATCCCGGTCCCGAAGATTCTATCCTCGAATGCTGCGACAACGATCTTGCTGCAGTACGTGAGCTTCTTTTGAAGAACACAGACCGTGCACTTGAGCTTGCCGACGCAAAACTACGCGTTTTCCCATTCAAAGATGTGAAGACATGCTGGCGAAGACTCTACACGGACGCGAGCATTGCGAAGGTGTGTCTGGCTATCTGCAGCAACTGTGGCTTCTCGTGCGACGGAACATCGGTAGACAACAATTCTGGAATTGCAGATGGCACTGAAAATGCGGCAAAGCTCGACCAAACCGCAAGCAAAAATGACCAAACCGAGTACAAACTTGACCCCGACGCGCCATGGCTCTTGTCCTCAATCCATACCCTCGACAATGCACTGATTATGACGGGGGCACCCCTGCGTGAAAACCTGGTCGAATCGCTCTTCTCCGCTCTTCACTTCGCTACAAAAGCATACAGCGAAGGGAAGAGGGGTCCGCGCTCCATCCAAGACCACCCCAGTGATTCAGAGCTCGACGCTCAGGCCTTTAAACGCAGGAAGCTCTCGCCGCCGCTCTTCCCTCCCGATGCTGTGCCAGCGACGACCTTGGAACATCCTATCCCTCGGGTCTCTGCACCGTCCTTCGACGCCATCGAACACCATATCCAGCACGTCAGAACACCACTGGTGATCACCGACGCCGTGGACCACTGGCCTGCGCTGTCGACCCGGCCCTGGGCGTCACGCGACTACTGGTTCGATCGTACACTTGGCGGCCGCAGACTTGTCCCCGTGGAGGTGGGCAGATCCTACACGGACGAAGGATGGGGCCAGCGAATCATGGAGTTTCGAGAATTCGTGGACAAGTTTCTCTGGAGGGGAGAAGGCAAGACATCTGGGGCTAGGAAGGAGTGCGAGGACGACAGCAACGATACAGGCGAAACGGGGTACATGGCTCAGCATGATCTGCTCTCGCAGATCCCGGCTCTCCGGAAAGACATCTGCATCCCCGATTACTGCTTCATTGAGCCTCCCTGCCCGGAGCCAGGGACGCCAGTGTACCTCAAGAAGCAGCGAGAGCGAGAAGAGAAACTGAAATCCGGCAATGCCTCGTCAGGCGGCAGCGAAACGCATACAATGTCGCACGAGCAGCAACGGCATGAGAACGCAGCGTCCGACGACGAGTCCTCCGTCCTGGGTGTCCCCAGCGACCCGATCATAAACACCTGGATAGGCCCCGCATGGACTATATCTCCTCTCCACCATGATCCATACCATAACATCTTGGTCCAGGTGGTCGGCGCGAAGTACATTCGGCTCTACTCGCCTCATACGCCGGCCTCACAGATCTATCCGAAGGGCATGGAGGCCGTCAATTCATCGTCCGGGTCCAATGCCACAGCAGGCCTATCTGATACCACCCAGCTGCAAGGAAAAGGCTCGGAAGCCAGGGTCGACAAGCAGACGCAGCTCATCGACATGTCCAATACTTCCCAGGTTGACCTGGCTGCCATTGAGCTCTCCCCCGCCGAGTCCGAACAGTGGGATGCGATGTGGCCGGGCTTCTTGGAGGCTGAGTACGTCGAGACTGTGCTGAAGGAGGGGGAATGCTTGTATATTCCGGTGGGATGGTGGCATTATGTTCGTGGTGTCAAGGCTGGGATTAGTGTCAGTTTCTGGTGGGAATAGACGCTTCAGCGAGCCATTTCCATTTCTCTTTGATGATTGATGATGAGATACCAAACCTACGAACGATTGTTATTTGTCTAGAGGTTCTTAGACTTGGAGATTCCCCGAGTTTGTCCTGGTGGTTACGGTATGCTACGTAGATGCATACTTTACAGATCCTCTTGGGCCAAAGCAAATGTGACAATATCATTATTGACTCTTCGCTCAGGTCTTGACTTTCCGCACAAGTAATAGTGGCTTACCAGCCTCAATCGGTTCACCTGGCGGCGCCAAAACTTTCTCCACGGTGGCACCCGCTGTAGAAGGCTCGACTCGCACAGCGATTTCGAGTTTCATCGCTTCTAATATGACCACAACCTGGTTCTCTTCAAGATTGTCCCCTTGCTTGACCTCCACTTTCCACACATTGGCATTCAAGGGGGCCTCGATTGCGATGATCTCAGGATCTTTGTCAAGTGACGTACATGTCAGTATCGACTTTCTCCGGTGGACCTTGAATAGGGTTACCTTGAAGTAAACTCTCAATTGTATCCTGGGATACTCCCCTCTCGGCCTTTTCCTTCGCCCAGCGTTCGAGCAACTCTGTTTCAATTTTATCCATCTCGGCCTGCGCCTGACGCTGGCGTGCTCGAATGGCTGCTACTTCGTCGCGCGTTTCCTGCAAGAGTCGATTGTGCTCCGCCATGTCGAAGACAATCTCCTCCCATTGGTATTCGTACTGGCCGCTATTGAACAGCGCCAACTGTTTTTCGTATTCTTCTTCGGAGACTCGGTAGAAGGTTATCTGATCGAATTCTTCGAAGAGCCACGGTCTGTCGGCGCTGTAACCTTTCTTCGAGCCCAAGATGTCGACCCCCGGTATGGTCATTCCGGTCAGTTGGTATCCACCAGGCGAATCGACATTGTACAACCTGTTGTTTGCTGTCAATTTTTAGATACTTTGAACTGCTTGAACAGTACTCACGCCATGCAGCTTCCACCCCACGATACTGAGCCGGCCGGAGTATACACTCTACTTGGATTCATTTTAGGGCAGTTCATGCGTTGACGAGGATCCACAGGGAGGGCGAGTGGAAGGGCAGTGAAGAATCCCACAGAGACGACCATCAAGCTAGCTGTCAGGAAGATGTTTTCAAACTCTTCCTTTGTAAAAGCGTTGTTTTTGGCGACAAACTCCATGTTATCTGGAAGGTAGGAAGCATACGGACGCTGTGTTTCCATGTAGCGCTGAATGGCATCCTTTTGTCTTTGACTCTCGAACGTGAGAGGAAGCCTGAACAGCCGACTCGGCATCTTTGCTTGACTAAGATCTCCGAGTTTGGTCTCGAGGTCGCAGAGATAGCCGATTAGTCTTTGCTGGGACAGTTTCATGCCGTCGTAGTACAGCATCAGCGCTGCGCAGAGTGAGTTAGTTATGAAGTCCTCGTCTGCCGGGACAAGTTCTTACAATTTCCGCATCCAATCATTGAAATGAGTCCATTCGAGAACGTGATCTCTTTTCCTTCATGGAGTGCCTTCTTTAGTGCAGTGACTCTGCAACGATGATTCAAGTCAAATGACCCGTGGCCATAATCAATGAGGAGATAGTCGTCCCCTGCCTAAAGAAGTGGCTGATCAGCCGGGACCCATATGATCTAACGACAAGTGCACCATACCTGTCTGTAAGACACAAGGGGCTGGTTCCCTTGTTCTTCAATCCGATACACCACGCCTTTGCCGCGAGTCTCGGCTGTCTGCTCGGGAGGCACACCTCCCAGCGGTTTCACGCCGTTGAACCCATGCTCTTGCTTGCAGCAATGGACCAGTTCGTCGATAAACCTCTCCAAATTCCTCCGCGCATCCAGGGCATCAGCCAAAGACACTGCTCTGTATTTCAGGGTATCCCCCGCTTTCACCTGTCCTAACTTCCATAGATCTGCCTTTACGATCGTATGGCTGCTAACAAATCCTCCAAAGTCCGGGGCATCTTGTGGAAAGATAACGGGATCGTCGCCGGTCCAATTGAGCGAGCCGATTGCGTATCCGTATTCTATCACATTAGAAGGATGTGCGCCGCCCTCTCCCCCATCGGAGCGAGCCCACCGTGGTTTAGGACCGATGAGACGGATACCTCCTCTTGCCGCATTGTGTGAAATCTTCCACTGAGTCTCAAACAGCATATCGATGCTCTCGGGAGTAAGATAGCCTTCATCGTAGGGTCCTGGCATGGCTAGTAGCTCCCAGTGATTTGGGTAATTGGGGATGAGGTGTTCCGGTATACGGAGATCACCATTGACTTCCGGAACCTCGCTTGTGATTGTGAGAAGGTCTCCCGACGAAAGCTGCCGGCCTTGATAACCTCCGACTCCCACACCTGGAGATGTCGACTTTGACCCAAACCATTTGGGCACATTGAGGAATCCGCCAAAGACAGCAAGGTAAGCCCTGCAGCCGTTTCCTGTCGTTTTACCGATAGTCAGACGCTGACCAGCGGCTACCTTGACTCTTGACCACATTGGAACAGTCTCTCCATCGAGTGTAGCTTCAATCGGCGCTCCACAAAGGGAGATGATTGCTGGCCCGAGGAAGCGTAGATCTGGACCGCTTAGGGTGATCTCCAGAGCCTCGAGCCCGACGGGATTATTGACAAGGGCATTCGCGATGCGGAAGGCTAGCGGATCCATTGGCCCGGAATGACAAAAGCCCCTTCCTATGGTCGGTCGACCGGGCCAGTCTTCGATGAGCGTATAGGCGCCGCCCGAAATGACGTCGATCGCTGACGGAATATACTGGAAGTCGTCCAGAAATCTTGTCAATGTGTTGCCTGCAATGAAGGCCTCTTCTTCTAGAATCTTAACCAGGAAATCCAGATTGGTTGGAGGCCCGCAGATGCGTGATTTTCCTAGAATTTCCCTCATTCCCATTATAGTCTGCTGTCTATCTGGCGAGTGGTACATGACCTTCGCGAGTAGGGGGTCTATACGTTTCTGTCAGTCCGGCCAAAGTACCAAAGAGATGTTACTCATGAGATATACCGTAATTGGCGGATACCTTGATGCCTCGATAGACCCATGTATCAATCCTCGAACCTGGTATTTCCTTCCATTCGACAGTTTGCAAGGTTCCAGGACAAGGGGCGAAATCCTTGGTCGGATTTTCAGTATACACTCTTGCTTCAATAGCAGCGCCAGAAGGAGTTTCCACGGATAAGCTTTCAAGGAAAGATGCTTCAACGCCCTTCCTCCCAGAAAGCTGGGCATCCGCTTGATCTAGCATGAGTTCAACCAAGTCAATGCCATAGCAGAGTTCAGTTATCCCGTGCTCAACCTGTAGGCGAGTGTTCATCTCAAGAAAGAAGAATGCGCCAGTTTCATCATCGACAAGATATTCAATCGTCCCTGCTGAACCATAACTGATTGATTCTGCCAGACGGACGGCAGCCTCACCCAAGCTCTTTCGCAACCCTGGTCTTCTGGAGACGAAAGGGCTCGGACATTCTTCAATCACCTTCTGATGCCTTCTTTGTATCGAACATTCTCTTTCGCCAATAAAAATCGCCTTACCATTCCCGTTGCCAAACACCTGAACTTCTATGTGATGGCTCGATGGATAATAACGCTCGATGAACACGCCCGCGTTCTTGAATAATGCTTCCCCTCGCGACTTGACAGTTGCAAAGGACTTGCGCACTTCGGCCTCGGAATTGCATGTAAGCAAGCCCATGCCACCACCACCAGCGGTGGCTTTCAGCATGACCTGCAACACCCATTAGCCCCGTTGAAAGTTCTCTCCTGTTTTACGAGCCATACCGGATACCCCAACGTCTGGGCCACCTCCACAGCTTCTTCTTCATGCTCGATCAGGCCAGGTGATCCCGGCACGATGGGAACCCCAGCCTTCGTCGCAAGTTCTCGCGCGGTATGCTTGAGGCCAAAAGCTTCGATGCTCTCAGGGGAGGGTCCAACAAATACTAGACCAGCGGCAGCCGCAGCCCTCGCAAAATCTGCATTTTCAGATAAGAATCCATAACCTGGGATAATAGCATCCGCATTGTTCTGCTTTGCAACCTGGATAATTTGATCACTGAAGACCGTGAGTTAGACTATTATTGAAAGGAGAAAAGCAGACTCACCCGTCAATATATGCTTTCGAAGCAGAACCAGAGAGGAGAACGGCGACATCCGCTAGATGAACATGGATAGAGGCAGCGTCCGGCTCGGTATAGATCGCAATTGTACGAAGATCCAACTTCCTGGATCACAATGTCAGAGCTACTCAGCAGCTTGAACTTGCCTCACCATACTTTGCGGTCTTGATAATTCTCACAGCGATTTCGCCTCTGTTGGCAACGAGAAGAGTCTTTAAACAATCCATCGCGATGCAGAGCAGTATCTAGCGATGCGCCCTGGAGCAGCACGACTTGGGCGCAATCCGCTTAAGAGGAACATTATCTGAACTGAAGGATCGGGACCTCGGCGCTGTACTCCAATTAAAGAAGGTAACACCTGGGGTCAATGGCAGATAACGAGGTATGATCGTCGTGGGGTATGGCCGTGATCGCCGTTTGTTGGAGATTTGGAGAAAATGCGGAGAATCCGTCTATGCCGTCATGACTGATAAGCTCCAAACCCCTCAGTTCAAAGTTCCATTCAGCCGTGCGAGTTGAAAAGACTGAATTTTGGGGCATATCTATATTGCTTGCCACTTGGTCCTTGCTTGGCCGCTTCCTCAAGTCTTTTCTGGGAGTCGTTCCATTGTTGAGAGACTTTGCAGCTTTCCCTACTTCGTGCGGATCGCGATATATAGCACTATGGCACCGATACAGCAGAAGGCACTTATCAACTGTGACATGGGGGAGGCTGTAATTATATACACTCCCTGAGCTTAACACGCTCGTTATAGTCGCATTACTGATGTCCTCATAGTATGGCAACTGGACGTGCGGTCCTGACCTCGAGCTCCTCCCCATGATCGATATCGCCAATATTGCCTGCGGATTCCATGGGGGTGATCCTCTCATCATGATGGAAACAGTGCGAAATTGCAAAGCTCACAATGTCCGAATCGGTGCTCACCCCGGTCTTCCAGACCTGCAAGGGTTCGGTCGTCGGGAGATGAAGCTCTCCCCAGAAGAGCTTACCGCAATCACAATCTACCAGGTAGGGGCGCTCCAAGGCTTCCTCGACCGTGAAGGGGTTCCTCTACACCATGTAAAGCCTCATGGGGTATTGTACGGTATGATGTGCCGGGACTATGAAGTTGCCAAGGCGGTCATGCTGGGAATTCCAAAAGATGTGCCGGTATTTGGACTAGCAGGCACTCAAATGGAGAAAGCTGCCAACGACCTGGGGATCAAGTTCTGGGCTGAGCTATATGGCGATGTGAAATACGACTCGAACGGCATGCTTGTGATCGATCGGAAGAAGAAGCCCTGGAACCTCGCAGATGTTGAGAAGCACGTCAGACAGCAGATCGAAGAGCAGTCAGTCACGGCGGTTGATGGGACTATTGTGCAACTGCCACTGAAAACCTACCCGGTCTCAATCTGCTGCCACTCTGACTCTCCTGGATGCGTTGACATCATCAGGACGACGAGAAAGGTAGCGAATGAATTCAATGCCAAACACGGGAGATGAAGGCTGTTGTAGCATGTAAATAGCGTGTCTCGTCCATATTGGAATTCATCAAGACAAAGAAAACAGCGAAGTGAGAGATTTCGTAACCTGCTACGAATCCTACGTAGTAAGACAACATACCTAGGTTCCGACTCCACCAGACCTTCTGCCAGGTACAACTGTTTCCACCGGCCTCTCTTCCATATTCTCCCGCTTCCACTTTCTGCTGCAGTACACAATCACCGATCAGAACAACCCAAACGATGCCCCTCCGAATCCTTGAAGGAGAACCCCCGTCGCCCCCCGCCTGGGGCACCCTCCCACTGGACATCTACCTCCTCTCAGAATGGGATACTTCGCATTCATCTTACCTCACAGAGGCTTCGCAGCACCCCGTCCCTGAGTCCCCCTCTGGCCGGCGTAGTCGGCTTATTCACAAATTCCTTGCGCTGGGGAGTGCGGGACGTCAGTCACTTTTTTACACTCCCAAATTCCTATTTTGACGCCCAACATCTAACGAAAAAACAGCCCTACCAGTCAGAAACTGTAGTTCCACCAACGCCTACAAACAGTCAAATAACCGAAATCCTACGTCCCGCGCGTCACCAGTCGCTGCGGCCTTACGCTGAGTACACGGGCTCCCTGACAAAGGACTTTGTCTCCGTCTCTGCTACGACGCAGACAAAGAAGAGGCGCATAAGTTCCTATGGTCACAGAACTTGGACGCAGCTTTCGTCTGGCCTGACAGCATCATCTTCAACGATAAAGAGCTTTTCGGCGGCGAGGAAATAAACCTGGCGAGGTTCTTAGAAACTTTTCCGGAGAGGGTCACAAATGTGGGGTCAGTTGCACATGTTGAGGATCGTGAGACAATTCTTAGGGATACTTTAAGGAGGATTCAAGAAGATGGAGGGAATACTGAAGCTGAAGGGGAGGACGGAGTCTCTGAAGAAGACAAGAACCCGCTGCTTCAATATGGAGACTATCACGCTGCTTGTGTCGTGACACATATGTTTATTGAGGACGAAGAGGCTCTTGATGGTAACGGATTGCTGCATGTGTTTTTTAGATGACACTGCGAATGTGGTTAGGCACTGGAGGACGGACGACGAAGGAAGGGACTATGAATTTGATGGCACGTGGAAGGAGGGCAATTGGAAGGAGGATCTTGTGAGCGGGAAGGGAGAGCTCGGGGCTGCTTATTGCGAAGGAGGTGTTAGGGGGCCCGCCCTCTGAGCTTTAGATGATACTTCAAATGTCTTAGTGCTATCGATGGCACATGAATTGTCTTTTCTTGCCAGCTGGCTACATTGAATCTGCAAGGTTGAGTTGAGCAATATTCCCAAAATATATGTCTATATGTCTTGACACAAAGGAAACGCTAAATGATGGACTCGGCAGCAAGGCTGTCGACTAGTTTCATGTCCCTTCGGACTGGACATGTAGGCAGGATGGTCTCGTGGATATGGAAAGTAGCCAACTGCTTGAGTCTCAGATGTGATGATGACACGAGTTGTAATAACCGTAGTTCTGAATATGATTGATGGATTGTCAGACCAAAGTTCAAAAACGCAACAACATACGTCAAGACCAGAAGGGATCGGCCTCAGTTGATCAAGTCGACGACGCCAAGCATCTGGACTCGTAGTTGCACGCGTTGATACGAGAGTCTTATCATATCGATGATGATAATGATGATAATCCACTGTTCCCCCCTCCGATATCGTTCATGAGCTGATTCGTTCCTACCCAATCGGGAAGGGCAGCGCGCGTCCCCGCAACCAAAATTAGTCTCAATCGGGCATAGTGCTGTCACCGAAGGGCGCGCACTAACCGGACATGCAGATGACTCAGGCATCATTCCGGACTTCGTGCGTCCCTCTCCGAACGGGCAACCTTCTCTCCAGGGATTGGGAGCCGTCATGACAGTGGCCGTGGCACGCTAGCTCTCCACTGCCGTCCATGGGAAACGCTGTGGCTGCTCAACCCTGGAAAGTGTGGAAACAGGTGGCCCTTGACCATGCAGTTTGGCGGGGGTCAAAATTATCGGTCATGCCTACTAGGGCCGAACGTGACCATCAGTCCCAGACAACCCACCGATCACTGAGCAATCAAAATTAATGCTCGCAGAGTAGGGTATCTGGATCCTTGCTAGTCGACTGCCTCCAAAGGCGAGGTAGACGATTGTTCCAACTTCCAAGCCTCCAGTCCAAGCTATTTTCTGCACGGTGGTCAGAACAAAGAGTGCTTGACTTGGTCCGTGGTCGGTACTTCGGCATGCTTCTGATACCCCAGACGAAGACACCGACCTAATATCGGACCTTGCCTACTGGGCTGTCTGTCCTCTTTCCTCCGTCAGCTCCTCCATCTACTCTGAACTTTCAATCATACACCTGCTCTCACTCTACCTCGTTTCTATTCCCATATTGAGTCGACTTGAACAGCACCGTTGACCTCGATTAGTCGAGGTCGATCAACCACCACTGACGCAATACGGCATCGGTGTCGGAGTGAAGTATCCCTGAAAATGGAATACTTCGATTTCGACGGAGCCTCGTTCGGCTCCCATGCCCCAGACGACGAGGTGGCTTCTGACAGGTTTGAGCTCGATGAGAATGATGCAATTGAAAACTACGAAGCCCTTCTACATGAGCAGCCATTGGACTTTCCCAATGATCCGCCGGAGCAGGATGATCTCAACCAGCAGACGGAAGCTCCGTCGGTCAATGCGCAATCCAACAATGCTCTTCCAATTTATCGAGCCAAGGAGCCCTGCGACTTTTGCAGGCATATGAATCTGGACTGCTTCGTTTCAGACAGAGGAGCCTTACAGAATGGCTGCACGTGCTGCATAATTCTGTTCCGAGAGTGCAGCTTCACGCACGCCAAGATGCCTGGCAAGTACATGGAAACTCTCCAGGCGATCTCAGAAAACGCAGATATTCCAACGGTTGGTCCAAAGGGGAGGAAGACGCTCAAATCCCTTACGGGTATGACCATATCAGAGGATATGGAAGGCCGGGGGAGGAAAAGCAGTTCTCGTCTTTCCCGCGACGCCGTACGGATCCTCAAAACATGGCTTCTGGAGCACCTTGACCATCCTTACCCGTCCGAGCAAGAAAAAGACGACTTGAAAAAGCGCACGGGTTTAAAGAGAACTCAAATTAGCAACTGGCTTGCCAACGCGAGGCGGCGTGGAAAGACCCGACCCTCCCCGTCCAGCAATTCGTCGGTTCCAGGTGCCATAGACATTCCCGGGCAGCAACAACTGCAGCAACCAAACATTGCGCTCATGACGCCCCTTGAGCGATGGAAGTACTCTCCACCCGAAAACGAACCTGCTTCCACGACCGATATTCTTCGAGCCCTGGTGAACACCCCTTTGGATTCAACACGACAGCCAGGTCACGTGCGTTCCCTTTCTCGGAAGGGATCCAGCAATGACTCAAGCCATGCCAACTCCAATATATTCAAGGCCCCATCCATCAGCAGCTTGGGTGAAAGTCGGTCAGCCAGTCGTTCATCCGTCTCTGACCTGTCCTTTGCCTCTGCCTTCTCCCATCGGTCCTCCTTGGAGTCCTTTGGTTCAATGGAAAGGAAGGATCGTCGTCGTCGTCGCAAGCCATCAACAGCCTTGAACCCTTTCAATCAACAGAAGGCTCGCAGCTCTCGTATATTCCAATGCACATTCTGTACTGAAACGTTTGCTACCAAGTATGACTGGCAGCGGCACGAGAAGTCATTGCACCTTGCCCTCGACAAATGGACCTGCTCACCTCAGGGAGGTGTGGTGTACGTCAACGGAGCCAATCGCTGTGTCTTTTGCATGGCGAGTGACCCAGACACCGACCACCTGGAGTCTCACTGCTATAGTACCTGTCAAGAGAAGACCCTGGCGGAGCGAACATTTTACCGCAAGGACCATCTCAACCAGCATCTTCGACTGATGCACAACGTCAAGTTCAACTCATATATGAACCAATGGCAAAGCACAACCACAGAATTGAAATCACGTTGCGGATTCTGTGGCACAACCCTCACGACCTGGAAAGATCGTGTGGAACACCTCGCTGCGCACTTCAAGAATGGTGCTGATATGACCCAATGGCAAGGGGATTGGGGCTTCGAACCATTCGTTCAAGGCTTAGTGGAAAATGCTATGCCCCCTTACCTTATTGGCGAAGATCGGAAAACATTAAACCCTTACACAACCTCCAATTTTCTCGGACAGTCATGTTGTTCGCCAACTACTGCGTCTCCTGGGCTTGTTGAACCTAACGACGTGAACTGTTTCCATCGTCTTCAGCGCGAGCTCACTGCATTTATCCGCAAGCAAGTTGCAGAAGGCTTCATACCGACGGATCAGATGATCCAGGACCAAGCCCGGCTTGTGATTTATGGCAATACTGATCCTTGGAACCAAACCAGCGCTGACAATCCAGTCTGGCTGAGTATCCTCAAGCGTGACACGGGTCTTGAAGTAGTGCCTGACTCGGAGCATATTCAATTAGATAACCTGAACATGCAGCCTCCCTTCGCGGCTCATGGCGGCCTAAGGCAGCCGCCAGTCGAAGGCAATCCTCTGGCAAGGTCCTTGTGCAACAAAATGCCTTTGAAACCTGAGAGTTTCAGTCCTGCACTGCGAAGTCCTACATTTGCTGGGACCGGTCGATCCTCAGCTGCTCCAAGTATGCCGGGAAGCTCGGCTGCTAGTTTTGCTGGTAGCTTCGGAATTGCGCCGTCTGGGGTCAATTCCGGCCTTTCGACCGACTGGGGAAGCAACTTCTCTGCCGGTGTTTCTTCTTTCTCCACGCCTGCCAGTGGGTCAGTCGACCAATTCGTTCAGATGGGATTCGAACCGGAGTTTCTGCAACAACTCAATGATCGGTACGGTGAAATGCATATTGACGGGATGGATGGCATGATGTTCGGAGTAGAACAAGAACATACGCGCAATAGCGCGTTGGTACCCGAGGGCGACGTATACAAACTGGCGGGCTCTACTGATGCTGCTGCACCGCTCTCCAACGTCGGGTCAGCACCTATCAATATTCCCAGTCCGAAACAAACTGGGGCCGTCACCCAGCAAGATCAAGCATCGATCGGAGATTCATTCTATCCGAGCGTTAGTGGGATTTGAGTCCACATGAGGGACATTAGTATCTGATGAGTGAGTGTCACGCAATCCAGACATGACCTGGTCGAGGGGGGTCATAGGAAAAGTTTCCTTTCCTTTTTCTTCTTTCTCTTCTTGTCTTCCCCGCGTATGCATTGAATGAGAAATTGTACGTCGTTATAAAGTGCAGCGTTAGTTCTTATATACCATTTAGATTTTCTTGCAATAAATATACTTCGATCTGATCATGTCAAGGGCGTAGAAGTAGGCAGAGAGTGCCCTAGGGCCATTGTGTGATTGGGCCGCCTACTATCGGGACTGGTCTGTCATTGATAGGGCGCGCCAGTGACAAACAGCTTCCGACCACGTCCACAGAGGTGTTACTCTGTAGCTGCCTTAGTCATGCTGAATAAGTGATTTTACTTTTTTCCTCCTGCTTTATTGACGGTCTAATAGCAATTATTATTCAGATAGGTACTGGTTTTCGCCTTCCTATTCATTATCGGGAAGTGCAGTAGTCGCTTTTGTTTTGTTTGCCACGACCGGGGGGATGATTGGCATGTGAAAGCCAGCCGTTGCGCCAACGGTTTTACCTGCATATTCGGACATTTTCCATATTGTTTGACATCTGCAGCTAAAATTCCTCGCTCTTTCACATGTGGCGTCTCAGTATGTTGAATCACCCAGGTCTCACCGTCCTCTGAAAGGCTTACGAGACCTGCGTCTTTGATGTCCTGTCCTGCTCAGAGTCTGAGAGCCGTGCCAATTCAGCTCAACCGACAGAAAAATTTAAATGGATCCAACAGCATCAAGAACTGCTACCATGGCCTATTCAACTGGTCTCCCTGTTTTACTTCCCGCGCTACCTGCTGCGATTAGAAGGCGGATTCCCCGCCTCTATTCCTCTCTTCACCGGGCCATGGGATCGACCGATCGCGATCGTTCTGACACAGCGACCGATGGGCTGGTAGGGCCGATGCGTCAAGCTGATGCTCTTCGCACATTGGCACCATTCTCAACACCGGACTTGGGTTATTGTAGGCCGCCCTCCTCGGCGGCGAGCGAGTTGGGGGCCGACGAGCCTCCGCGCCCTGCGACTGCGGGGAGTAGTGTTTATCCGGAGCCGTACGATTCCAGGTCCTCGGCTTCGTCCTCGTCGGGGAAGACATTGGAGGCCTTGGATCTCGATGAGGGAAGGGAGGGCGATGCGACGGATCGGGGTTCGATGCTAGCGAAGTACGAGGTTGAGTCTGGGTTGCGGTGGAATCGGGTGGTTCCTGGTATGCATCTTACTCCTTCTCGCATATGCGATGAGCGATTATACCTGATGAGATGGTATGCTAATATTGCCCACAGCGTTGAATCTTCTCCGTAACGCGGGATACGAAGCTCAGCAGTCCACCTGCGACGGCCGCTTCGTCCGCTCCCTGTACATCAATGCGCTGGGGTACCTGCTTGATGCTCTGCCGGCAGATCTGACCGACGAGGAATCAATGACGATTCAACACAATCTACCCGCCAGGGTCAAGGTTACGCTTGCGGCGTCCGCGGCTGCGCAGCCCGGAGCTGGAGCCGCTGTTACCATGGTCAATCAGGGCGCTGGGACGCGGTATCCGACGGAGCGCTCGTACCTGCACCGTTTACTGGCGTCTAGTATTGTGCAATTCTTTCTCATCGTGCAGTTCTTGCTGCCTTATGTGAAGATCTTGCTGCAGCAGGTGTACCGGTATGAGAGGTCGCACCGGATCACGGAGCGTCTTGTGACGGCGACATTGGATGCTGCTGATAGTCTGGGGAAGGGGAGTGTCAATCTGGGGTCAACGGTGCTTCGACTGAACGAGGGGAAGGTCGGGACAGCGTTTACGAATCTAGCAGCCTGGTGGGTGGAAGGAGTTGCTGGTGGCATCTATGAGGGAGTTGGAGAAGGAATGACGATTTTGGGGCTGCTCCGGCCCAATTCTGAGTGGGAGAAGATGCCTATTCAGATGCAGGGGCAATGATTTCGATCTGCAAGCATAGACTATAATCTATTAGAGTGACATAGACTTATATAGAATCTGAGACGAATTGATGACTCCCAAACATTCTCTACACTCTCTTCTGTTTATCTTGATATGATGGCATGATGGCGGAGATAACGGACTTAGGATCTTGGTTGTTTGTGTCCACATCCACTGGCCTCTCAGCACCAGCTACAGGAGGAATCATAAGCCCAAACCCATTTTGAACAATTGGCCGACCCATCAGCACAATGTCCTCATCCAGATTGCCAAATATCCCTGCTCTTCGTAGACAACAACTTCTGCTTGAATTGTGAGTATGACTGCGTCTTCTTGAACGGTACCAGCAATGTTGTGTTTGCTAACCATCCGTCCTGCAGTGCCAGCTTGAAACATGCAGCTCCCCCCGGAATCTACATCTCCATCACACCAGGTGATCCTACCCTGTGGTCAGGCGTAATATTTGTGCGGTCTGGTATATTTGCCCTGGCCTCATTGTCTGAGGAGACTCGAATTGACTCAAACACAGGCCCCTATGCGTCTGCTGTCCTCCGATTCCAGATCCGATTTCCTGACTCCTATCCCGAGCTTCCCCCCCTTGTCACCTTTTCGACCGATGTTTTCCATCCTTTAATTGTACCCCTTACTACATATACCTTCAGTACGGGCGCATCGACCGAAGACCCTGTTAGCGCGACGGACGAGGAGCGACTACCCCCCGGTGGATTCAGTCTCCGACATTGCTTCCCTCACTGGTTTGGGCGGGCCAGGAAGACAGGACGACAGTCAACAGGTTCATCCAGGCCAGTGAGTGCGACTGGTCGGAATACTGATGAAGGAGACACGACAACGGCGGATGGCCCTTCTTCTCCTTCCTCACGTCAGCCCAACGGCGCAGAGGAGGGCGACAATATCACCAAGGACAGAGGAGAATCTGCCTCGGAAGCAAGAAAAACGGTGCCAGTAGCAGTGCTGCTGAACTACATCCGATCAACGTTTGACGATGAGAACATCCTTGACCTTTTACCTCTCGAAGCTGCGGGAAACCCAAGCGCGTGGCACGCATGGAAGGCACACAGAAGAGAAAATAGCGAATCGGCGACGAATTCCAAACGAGGAAGTCCGCAGGCTCGGCTTCCTGGTGATTGGCATTGGGACGGAATTTGGGCGAAGCGTGTTCAGCATGAGATTGAGGCGAGTCATTCGGATCAAATGTTGTTTGGAAATGCTGCTCGCGGGGCCACCGATGAGATGGTATGTATGCTTCGATTATCTCTATGGTCGTGTACTGACGCCCCCGGTAGATACGCTTCTCTCGTCTGGATGATGCCACGTTGGCTTCGATCAAGGAGACGATAATTCCTCCCGTCGGGGGAGCACATGAATAGCTTCACTCCCGGTATAATCCACTGATGCTGGCTGGTCGTCGATTGCCGTTATCCTTGCAAAGAGAATACATGACCTGACGTCGCTGCCTGGGGGATGCTCTTCCTAGACTTTGAGTACATCCCGACTCGCACCTGCCGTTGATATTCATCCCCCGGGACAGTCTCCCACACCTATCTCATCCTTGATTTCCAAAATGCAGGGAACATCCTCTACTTTTCAGCATACCCGTGCCGTTGCATCTTAGAGACGTTTTGGATAGCGCTAAACATGTCTAACGACTGGTTCTATCGATACCAAACAACCATTCTCGCTGTCGTCCTAGTTTTCGTCCCTATCATCGTGGTTTGCAGCATCTTCATGACTGCTCTTGCATGCTCCGAATACTGGTCTAGACGACGAGGTTGCAGTTTCTCCTACTTTACTTGCATCTGTGTTTTCAGGTCAAGAAGTGAGCGCCAGAGGAATCGTTCTGGCACTGATGACGCCAACTCCTCTGAGAGGACTGAATCACCGCGGCCCTCGGCTGAAAACAAGAATCCAGTCTCAAGAACTGAGCAAGCCTAGAGATACCGTCAGCTGTTCGCGTATGCTCTATCGCAGGATCTTCGCGGTTTATGCGCTGACTGTGCTTAAGACTGCGCGGGACGTTGCTCGTGATAATGCCATGGTCGGGTCTTCAGACACAACGGCCATGCGCACATCCTTTCTCGAAGCGTTCAATCTGACTCCGCGGCGGGCCCGGAGATTTGTCACACAAGCCCAAGCGGAAATGGAGGTAGCAACAAGCTATGCAGGACTTGCCAGCCTTACGTACATAAACACTGCCCTCTGAGTCGAAGGAGTGCTACCTCCTTGAACACCGAAGTTCCTCGAGTTGATGTATCTTTACCCTTTGTTGAACTAAAAGTCGCTGTAAACCCTGTTGTGCTCTCAAAGCTAACCGAAGGGATGCATCACGATAGCACTTGCTTCCCATGAGACTAGACTACAATGTTGTCTATAACCTGGATTGAAGGTTGATCATACATGTCTTGTTCAGAGGACTGCTTTGTGTCCTCTTGCGATTGACGCTGCTAGAGACAGGGCGCTATCCTCTCCGTTGATGCTGTACCTAGTTTGTGTGACTGGTCCTACTAGCATACCATACGTTCCAAAAACAATAGTTACAGTTTTAATACTTGCCAGTATATACAGTAGATCATGGCCCAAAATATAAGTGATCAATCGGGCTACCAAATGAGTCAAGCGCTACTCCAATTGGGGTATATTATCTTTCATGTACCCCACACCGAACGAGGTCAACTTTTGCTTCCGACAACATTTATTATCGCACGCTGCTCACACCTCTGCAATTCCACAAAAACACAAACAAGGCAATGGCCGACTCGAAAGACAACCTTCTGTCGCAGGTCGACGACACCACCTCGGACCCCCCACCAGCCTACGATGCCAGCGCCGCACCCACCCCTCGTCTCCCACGCCCACCACCCCTCTCCCTCCCCGTCCTCAACACCCTGCGCAACAAACGCGTAATCCTCGCCTCGGCCTCCCCCCGGCGCCGCCAGATCCTGTCCCTCCTGGGCCTCCCCTTCGAAGTCATCCCCAGCAATGCCGCCGAGGACTTCCCCAAGACAATGGAACCCTTCGAGTACGTCCTGGCCACAGCAACCAAGAAAGCACAGGCGGTGTACACCGCCGAAATCAACAACGAGGAGAAGGGCGAGCCGGCGCTGATCCTGGCGGCTGATACCGTTGTCGTCGATAATCTCTCCGGCTCAATCCTCGAGAAGCCGCGCTCGGAGGCGCAGCACATCGCTATGCTGAAGATGCTGCGCGATAATCGGGTACATAAGGTTTACACGGCGATGGTTGCGATGGCGCCGCTGGAGAGCGCGCGGCAGCCGGGGTATGCGCTTGAGACGCACATCGAGGAGACGGATGTGGTGTTTGATCGGGAGGTGACGGATGATTTGATTGTGGCGTATGTGCGGACGAGGGAGGGGGCGGATAAGGCGGGGGGGTATGGGTTGCAGGGTCTGGGGTCGATCCTTGTGGAGAGTATTCAGGGGAGCTGGGATAATGTTGTGGGTTTGCCGTTGAAGGCGGCGTTGAAGTTGATTGAGAAGGTGGTGGCTAAGGCGGATGATGATGATGGGGATGAAATGTTGGACGGTGAGGAGGATGAGGAGGAGTAAAGCGGTTGAGTGCTCGGTCTTGGGCTCATGATGATATCCTTTGGTATGATTTCTACGCTGGTCGTTCGCTATAGATTCCATCGATGTGAAAAGGGCATGGGTATAAAGAAAGTCTTCGGTTTACATTTTATAGCCCAAGCAGTCGAGCAGGCTAGCTTGACTAGACAAATAGAAAATTTGGCACATGTACATAGGCAGACGCCTGGGAAAGAATCATCGAAATCAAACGCAAAACTCAAACAACACCCTCAAAATTCGGTCTATGCCTTCCACACCCGCTTGATGGCCTCTGTGATACCAACATCGTTTGTCTCGAATTCGTACAGACCGACGGCCGTGGTAACAGTGAAAGCACGCAGCAGCCAGTTCATGAACGTCTTGGTCTTAGGGACGCGGCGCTTGGGGAAGTAGTCGATGATAGAGGCACTGTGACACGTTAATCTCGACTGCCTGTAAAAACGGAGCGGCTAGAGCATACTGGAAACCAATGTGAGAGTGGAGTACCAGCAGGGTACAGAGGACAGAGTCCATGACAGGGTTCAGAGAGCCGGCAGCGAAGGGAGCGATGGTCAGAGGGATCAGTCCGACGGAGATGAGTCTAGATCCGCATCAGCGTTGGTTGTCTTGATTTATACCCTTCACCTGGCTCTTCATAGACCAAGTTCCACATGCGTACGCACCTCTCGAATGTCCAGTGGTAGCTACCCTCCGAAGGGTGAGGCTTGGGAATAGGAGCAGGGTCGTTCACTGGGAGTCTTATGTTAGTCCATCGTTTTATTGGTTCGAGTATTCAAGCTGCAAGTATCGAACGCTGCAGCTTGGCTGAATAACGGCGTGTACTCCGCTCCGCGTCTCAGACAATATTGATGCTCTTAACGAAGGGGCTTTCAACATACTTGTTCCCCGAATGACCTCTATACGCAATCTGTTAGCTCTACTCTCTTCCACACACCCCTCCTGATCAACGCAACACCCCGCAATCACCACCCATCACGATCATAAACTCATAAACAAATAAAGGAGTTACTCACGAGGCTGAGGAGGTAGAATCTGCTTCTTCGCAGAAGCATGGAAAGCCACAACCTGCGACACGTTCCTGTTCACCAAGGGCGACCGGAAGGCAGACAGACAAGAGTGCCTGGAAAGGAGGGACTGGCGCGCAATCGAAGCCATCGTGTCGATATACTGAGAACTCGATCCAAACAATGTCCTAAAGCGAGCTGCAATGCAGACCTGAGGGCGTTTAGGAGTCCTGAACCAAAGGCAGTAGCACGCTTGAGATCGTGAGGTTGAATTGGAACCTCGGGAATCCCATTCGGGATGCGGTCATCACATTGTGCGCGCTCTGATTCGCTAGTGGCTCTCCGCCCAGCCGAAAATGGCCGATATTCCGGCAGATGGATTTGTATGGTGTCTTGTAAATGCTTCAGCTGTCTCTCTTCCTAGCATTTTTATTGTATTTGGACTTAACGTGATATCGATATACGTCTACAGAGCTATCTGCGAGATACATGTTCTTACTGACAATCGCAGCGGACGTCAAACCCACGTGTGCGGACATCAATTACCGGAGACCAAATCTGAAAAATGTTTTTGCGCCAGGCATATGTAATTCATTTCCGCTCATATCTCGTCATAATGTGTCTATGAGATGATTATACTATTAACATGCAGGATTTTCCAACGAATCATCTCCCATCTAAAACTTCAGAACAGCCTTGCCCTTGTTCTTACCGTGGAAGATACCAACCAGACCCTCGGCCGCGTTGTCGATACCGGTGGTCTCGTGCAGTAGAGTCTTGAAGGAACCCTCCTTGATCCACTTCTGCACGTTCTTCTGGTGCTCTTCAGTGTACTTGTCACCCATGCCAGGGTCGCTGACGATGAAGCCACGCATGTCAATACGCTTGGTCAGCACATTGTGGATGTTCTTGATGGGGTAAGGAGCAGTGTTGTATTGGGAGATCAGGCCGCAGACAACGACACGACCGAAGTTGTTCATGGCGTCCAGAGCGGCCTCAAGGTGCTCGCCACCGACGTTCTCGTAGTAGATGTCGATACCCTGGGGCGCCAGGCGGGCCAGAGCATCAGCGGGCTTTTCCTTCTTGTAGTTGAAACCGCCGTCAAAGCCCAGGTCCTTGATGATGTACTCGAGCTTCTCATCAGAACCAACACTGCCGATGACCTTGAGACCCTCGTGCTTAGCCAGCTGACCAACGAGCTGTCCGACAGCGCCGCTGGCAGCGGAGACGAAGATTGTCTCGCCCTTCTTGGGTTTACCGATCTCGTAGAGGGAAGAGTAGGCGGTCAGACCGGGCATACCCAGAGCACCAAGGAACACACGGATGTCCTCAATGCCGAGGGGGTTCTCGAGAGGGCGGATACGGGCAACCTGGGAGCCATCGAGAACGATGTACTCCTGGATGGGGACGAAGCCGATGACCAAATCACCTTCCTTGAAAGAAGCATTGTTGGAGCGGAGGACTTTGGCAATCGTCGAGCTGTCGATGGGCTTGCCAAGCTCCAAAGCGGGAGAGTAGGACTTTACGTGACGCGGGCGCATGCGGCCACGCATGTAGGGGTCGAAGCTGGTGTAGAGGGACTGCAGGACAACGCCATTCTCGGGGGCGGGTGTGTTGGCGTCATACTCGACAGGCTCGATGGTAAGGTGCTCGCCGGGGACTGGGTATCCTTCCGGGATTTTCTTGAAGATGAGGGCCTTGTTTGAGCTCATTTTGGTTGAGAGGGTATGAAGTGTATGGAGAGGATTGGGAGGATGATGTGTATAGAAAGCTTCTAGAGGGGTCTCAACAATAAATAGCTAGTCTGTAGCTACGAAGAGCAGTACTGATTTATATACTGTACCTCCCTGATAGCCTATGTAAGTACGTAGCCCACTTTCCGAAGAAGAGAAAGCGGGGCAGAGTCAACCCCAACGAGGATGAATAATGATGATTTTTGCCTGGCTTATCAAGCAGCCAACACCAGAAAAGCTTCTTGAGAAATCAAAAAAGATGGAAAGTACCTAGGCAACTCGTCTGGCCGAGGGTCCTTAGCAGCGGAGTGGCTTCCCAGATCAACTTGTCGGAGACTTAAGAGTACCATGTCTCCATGGAACCAAGTCTTCATGGCTGGATGAGTGGAGCTATCGGGAGGACTCATGTCCATCCCCGACGGGTGAAGGACACTTTCTAGGAAAGAGAACCGTGTCATTGAGACTGGCGAGTGGCATGGATGTTGCGCAATGATGAACGGCTAGACGAGACATCATGATTTTTTGTACGGAGGTGTTCCCTAAAGCAGCGATACACCCATGGTGTGCATATCCGAGGATGATCACTAATAATGCAGTAGAATGCATTGCCGGCTTGGCCGAGCTGCAGGCATAGATGTTTTGCTCAGTACTGAGCAGAGGGGTAATAATAATAATAATAACGGTATGACATGGTATGATTATTATTCTGATCTGAGTCCCACAAGTGAGAGATTAGCTTGATACATAGGGGGTAAGCACCTTACCTTAAAATAGAGTATCGTAACTTTACCTTCCTAGATACCATTTCATTACGTGATGAAGTCATTGAGGCAGAAATTCGCGTAAGCTGCATCTCATTACGAGACGTACCGAGTATTGCGTAGGATTATTATGTATTATGTGTTGACTAGCTGCTTGATTTTCTGACTTTATAGTACGGAGTTATTTTTTTCTGGAATGGGTCTTCATTACTGATGTCGTTCGATAGCCGATCTGCGTTAACAGATAGTTCAGGAGCATTCCACGCCACAAGTTTGAAGTTTGTTACTAGGACTCCATGTGCATATGAGCACCCATTTCAAGGGTTCTATTGAGGAGACACAGTTTCCAATCGCTTGGCCAGCTAAAATCCTCAAGGTGAAGGCGAGAGCTTGTTCTCTATTGTCGATCTGGAGGACGAGTCAACGGTGCATCGCGACAACCTGGTCGGACAACTCAAAGGAATGACTCCGTGAACACTGCCATTATCATTCAACCTCGACGGTTGTAGACATGTCGAAGTCAGTAACACTTACAACAAGGGCGCAAACTTACTAAAGCCTAGTATTTATCAGAAGATGCCTCTGCAGGCTCTGTTGAGACAGTTACCACGAACTCATCCCGTTGGCAACTTTGCGCACAATAGACATGACTGAGAGACAGTAGCATTTGAATAGTAGGATATAAGTCACACTGTACTCATTTTGATCCTCACCTCTCCATTCGTCTTATTGCTAATGCTGCTGAGCATCACCACACCTATCTACGGTGCTTCTTGGTGGATATTGTGCCTGAGGCCACTCGGCCAATCATCATACATTTGCACCAATTCTCGCCGCCAGTTTCTCACCGCCTGCAGCCTCGAACTTTTTCTGCCGCTATTTTTCCCTTTCTCAGAATGATTTGAAGTTTCGGACTGTGGCTAATCCTGCATCAGCCAACATCATTTTGAGGTTGTTTTCATCTCGATTTTTGTTCTTCTCGTTTTAATTGTTGATATAGAATATCAATTATATTCCCCCTTTATTGATTTGATGATGCTGGGCGCAGTTCGCCGTTATGGCGTTGTCCACGCTCTGCGAGCCTCCGTCCCCCGGGCCATCTGCAGACCGTCGAATTCGCAGCTCTTAAGATGCCAGACTTCTCCCGTTACAGCCTACCCCCAGTCTGTGCGACTGCTGCACGAGTCGTCGCCTTTCTTTTCATCGGCATCCGCTCAAGCGCAGGCGCAACCTGATGACTTCCAGTCGGCTGCTCCGCTGGAGCCATTGAGAGAGTTCACCGACTTGGCCGAGCAGGGACTGGTGGACCCAAAAATCATTCGCGCAATTGTTAAAGATATGCAAATCAAAACTATGACCGATGTCCAAAGCCAGACCTTGCGTGAAATTTTGCAAGGAGATGATGTGTTAGTAGATGCTCTCGTTTTAAAAGCCCTTGGACCGAAACTAATCGTGCATCTCTTTCTACAGTTTGGCCCAGGCAAAGACCGGTACTGGAAAAACCCTTGCGTTTCTCACACCGGTATTCCAGAATATCATGAAGGACCCGTCCTTGAAGGGGCTGAACCGGAGGAGGTCACAGACGAGCTCCTCCGACATTCGCGCTATTATCATCTCCCCTACTCGTGAGCTGGCAGAGCAGATTGCTGTGGAGGCTAGGCGGTTAGCGGCTCACTCAGGTGTTATTGTCCAGACTGCAGTTGGCGGCACTCAGAAGCGCGAGGGTCTTCGTCGCATCCAGAGAGAGGGGTGCCATGTGTTGATCGGCACGCCAGGTCGGCTCAAGGATGTCCTCTCCGACTCTTACAATGGTGTCACGGCCCCCAATCTGTCCACTCTGGTACTGGACGAAGCAGATCGTTTGCTGGATGATGGGTTCTCGGAAGATATCATTCATATCCAGCGTCTCCTTCCGGACCCCATGAAGGTTGACCGTCAAACGCTCATGTTCTCCGCGACGGTTCCAAGGGAAGTCATGCGAATGGTTCGTAAGACCATGAAGCCTAACTTCAAGTTCGTCAAGACCGTGCGAGATGACGAAGTCCCCACCCATCTCACAGTGCCTCAGAAATACGTTGTTCTCAGAGGCTACGAGAATGCCATGCCTGCTCTTCTCGAGTTTGTGACGAAATATGTCGAGGGTGAAAAGGAGAATCCGAATCAGCGCCCGTTCAAGGCAATTGTCTATTTCAACTCAACCTCGCAGACTAATTTGGTCTATGAGACTTTCCGCAACATAGTCGAGCAGCGTCATCATCCGCTACGCCGGGTTCGTGTCTACGAAATTCATTCCCAGCTGACTCAGGCTCGGAGAACACGCTCTTCTGACTTTTTCCGGGCTGCTAAGTCTGCCATCCTTTTCTCGTCCGATGTGACAGCGCGGGGCATGGACTTCCCTGATGTGACTCACGTGATCCAAGTCAGTATTCCCAGGGACCGAGCCACATACATTCACCGTCTCGGTCGCACGGCACGGGCGAATAAGACTGGCGAGGGCTGGGTTCTCACCCACCGAGGAGAGCTGCCTGAGTTCGACAGGCAACTAGAAGGCATTCCACTCAACGTGGACAAGCAGACCTTCACGACGGCTACGGTCGATATGAGCAAGCCTGAACTCGACCCCGAGTCTCCCGCAACTAGATTCATCAAGGAGGTCAAGGACGCCGTGCAAGAAGTTCCAGAAGATCTGAAGAGGCGAGCATACATGGCCCAAATTGGCCCCTTGAGAGGTTATTTTGCTCGCAAGCGGGACCTGATCCAGGCCATCAACGACTGTGTCGTGCACGGCTATGGCCTACCCGAACCTCCACAAATGAGTCCGACAGTTGCCCGTAATTTGGGACTTGATCGAGTACCTGGTGTTCGTGTTGCGGACTACCGCGGTTCCAGCGACGACATGTCGACCGGACGTGACTATCGCGGACGCGGAGGCGATCGCGATAATCACGCTAGTAACTCTCGCCGTGGCCGCGGTTTCAATTCAGACCGCCGCGAGTTCAATTCCGACCGCCGCGAGTCAAGGTTTGGCAATCGCCGCAACGCCGATGATTTCTCCAGAGGCCGCCGGCGTGCCGACAGAGACGACTACTAGACCTATTTTCGTTTCTCAGGTCCAGTTAGAACCCCTGTGTAGACTCAGCCAGTTGTGTTGAGCGAGTCTCGCACAGCCGATCCGCTTTGAATTTAACAGAGAGATTGCATTGGGCGGCGTTATACGATCTAACAGGACACTTCTCATCTCTTCATATGTTTTATTTCACCTGGGACTTCTGGGTTGTGGAATGTTCGTTGGATTTGAATACTCGTGATGATATGTCTTGACTACCCATCTTAGTGTGTATTATTAGAGATTTCAATGTGTATTATTGATACGGTTGTCCGCTGTGGAATTTGATCTGGACATAGAGTATGCGATATGTCAAGGAACATTGATAGTGATTCTTTTATTCGAAATCGGCATAGGACAAGAAGTGCAAGTAGAACAGTAGGGCTAGACTTACAGACCTCTCATCGGTAATTATGCATTCTTCAAAGTCCGTATCAAGGTATCAAGTTCAAACGACAAGAGCCGACCAGGGAACAGGGAGTCGCTCTACTAAATGCGACTCTCAGAGAGTAAAATGTGACAAAAGAACACCCCAGAGCGCCATAACTATCCAGCCTGCGTTCCAAGCATGCCAGAAACTCAGTGACCACCCCAGTTTTCGCTGGAAGAAGCACCAAAGCTAGGCAGGAAATCGTCCAGCATTTTATCGCATAAACCAAAGAACACACATATCCCATAATACAATCATAACCCATGAAAATGAGGTTGCGTCTCATTGTGCCCAAGTCCGGCAGTCAGCGACAACAACCTAACCCGCAACCGCAATGCCGAGACCTCGGCTGGTGTCCACGAAATCCCCTCAACGCACTGGGATACGACACTCCTCACGTTCGAAACGCATCGTCAATGTGTCCGCCTCTGCTCTCAATCTCAGCAATAAGCTCCTGTCTCTCCTGTAGCTTCATGTGTATGAAATCCACCGTCTTGCGGAGCACGATGCTCTCGCTTCGGCCCTGGCCTTCCAGTCCCGGCACCAGCTCCGTAAGCCGATCGAAACCCTCTCTAATCGCTGCGCGTCGCTTCTGCTCCGAGGCGATGTGGTTGTTCTTCTTTTCTTGTTCTGTGAGACGTGGTTTATCCCGGTCTGACGCTGTACCTGTGCCTGAGACGGCCGCTTGCTTGGGGGTAGTAGAGGAGCGAGTATGAGCGTCCTCGGCTGTTGTGCTTGCGCTGGCGGGAATGGGAGAACAGGAGGGTTCGGAGGAGCTGGAGGCGAGGGATGCTGGTGGTTGTGCAGATGGCATGTTGATTTTCCCTCTTTTTTCGTCTTATATTGGTGGTGGTATTATTTTGCGATCAAATTGCTGAGACAGGTTGAAGCATGTGACTGTCGTTTTTCATGTGACACTTGAGTGCGGAGCACGAGTGGTATATAAAAGGCCACTCAAGAACAAAAACAAACAAGCAGGAAATCAGAAACACAAATAATGAGTGACAGAATTAGAGGAGTAACTGGATTGGAGCCTTTGAGGGTTGTAGAGATCAAAAGCATTGTCGAGAGAAAGAGAAAGACCGTTCTGGCTCTTGGTCTGGGTCTGGTTCTGGTTCTGGAGGATCCAAGGATTAAGGAAACCAGCCATCCTCCACCCAAAAACCTAGTAGCGTGCGGAGAATCGAACCCCATAGGTGTTTCGAACGTCCAATTTCTGTGCTTCTACTCCTTCTTTCTTGGCCTCACGCTGATTCCCACTAACTAGATTAAGTCCTAGTTACTTTGTACCAGCTGCACAGTACAGTCGAGTCTCTACATAAGACACTAGTCGGAAAATAGAAATCTGCGTCGCCGTTAGCCGCCGGATGAGGTTGGCCAAGCCTCTGGGGATCCGCAGTCTGGGCCTCTTCACGTCATCGGTATCCTTATCGAATATCTCCCCATACGAACAACGATTTCGACTTACTACAATCCTCTCTGTTCATTCTTCATTGACACTGCTTCTAAACAGCTTCCTGTATCTTCTAGCTTTGTGTCTCCTGTCATCCAGCTCGCAGCTACTATTCAATCATACATCGCGGCGTCAATCTATAACTTCATACTAGACAAGCTCAACTTACGACGTCCACACTTGATAATAGCGTAATTCAGAATATGAGCACTCGTGAACCTCTTCGCGGCTCCTGCTTATGCGGTCGCAATCAGTATTCGATTGACATCCCAGATAATGTAACAGATCACGCTCATATATACTTTGACAGCAGCCGGGATCACCGTACGTATTCCGGCATCCCCTGTATCTACCCAAGTCAATTCACAACTGATACGTATCAGGAAAATCATATGGATCACCTCTTACCGCATGGCTGCGAGTTCCCCTGAACTGGTATCAATCCCACACTGAGTCTTACTTTCCTGATGAAACCCATACCACCATTCGTCGGGTCTTTACGCCTCACCATGCCCCTCACACACAGCGCATCTTCTGCGGATACTGCGGCACTCCGCTCACATACTGGAGTGAGATACCTCGAGAGGAGGCGGACTATATGTCTGTGACGATTGGTAGTCTGTACGGCGAGGCTCAACGCATGCTAGAGGACCTCGACCTTCTTCCGGGATCGTCGGATGAAGGCGAAGAGGAGGAAGAGGCCGGAGAAGCAGGTGAGAAAGAGGAGAGGACAGGCGTGACCGTGAGTCCAGCTGAGCATAGGCAAACATCGTCCGCCGATTCAACAGTTCTCGTGCCTTCGCGGGCTCGCGCGCCTGACCTGACTCGGAGCTACCGCCGGGGTACGACGCGGGGTATGCCGTGGTTCGAGGAGATGATTGAGGGAAGTCGACTGGGTCGCATAATGAAGACAAGGCGTGGTGTAGGGGTCAGTGATGACAGTTCGACGACAATAGAATGGGAGGTGACTGAGTGGATGGATGAGGATCCCAGCGAAGAAACGCAGGCCGCGTCAGAAGACGCGCGAAGCGCCGTGAAACGAAAAAGAGGACATTACGTCGACACTGAGGGGCCCGGGTCGGCCGCAAAACAAATGTGATGCTAGCAGATTTCTACTCACACTGTAAGCGAGAAATTTGGTGGGCATACAATACTCAAGGTATGCGCAGCAGGAGCATCAGTATACGAAGAAGCTCTGCTCCTCTATTCCCCAAATAACAGCAATGTGTTCATGTCCCTCGATGACGGGTGTCCATTTCCATGCGATTGTCCCTCAGTTAGGGTCAGCTTGGCGTCGATGGACTTGCTGCGTCCCCATATATAGGACAAAGATCTCAGAATCAGAAGCACGAGAATACAAAAAAGCTGCTTCCATGCTAATCATTTGGTTCCAACTTGCATCTCAACAGGGCCTAGATGATCCCAAGCAATAAACAAACACAAGTAGGCGACCGTGAATGGCCAGTGCCTGAGGTGTGCTCTCTATCACGTAGTTGGTTTCCCAAATAGGAATCGCCTCGCTTAGGTTGCCTATGCCTACAGTGAAGTGAAGGATATCTTCGTCTGCTCTCGCACACTGTGTTCTTTTAAAATAGAGCCGTCATTATCTGCATGTCTGCTTGGAAGCACTCCATTTCTTTGACCTCCTTGGTAGTCATCTTAATATCCATATGCCACTTGTCTTGGGACTGGGATATCAGCTTAGCCCTCGCTTCGATTCAGAACAACAATTAGCAGCCCTGGAACGAGTCGTCTTGCTGCCATCTTATCTCTCATCTTCAAGAACACCAGTCTTGGTGTTTCTTGCATAATCGTCCTCACGTGTAGATACTAACTGTGCTCAAACATAGGGCAACCAAGCTGGAATAGGTATGCTGCCCTGCTTATCTCCCATTCCTCTGTTTCGATTGCTGGGAAGTGACGTTCAATAGTCAAGCTTGAGAGGGATAGCCTGCGAGACGAGGTCTTTGGCTCCTCGCAGGGCAGTCGACCAGGTCACTCACTCAAGATGAAGCATGACCCACGTGCAGCGAAGCTAAAAGGGAAGCGCTCAGCTCCCAATCTCAGAACAAAAAGAAGTGCCATTAATATTCCTGCCGGCGGCAAATCGCGCAAGGCGATCAAGGAAAACTATGCACCAGGCGTTAGGAGCAGAGCATCAGCACCGAACTTGAAACAAGCTGCAGAGGAGTTGCATCCCAAGCCCCCTTCTCCTCCCAGCGAGGCCCCTGAGATTCAGATCAACGAATCGAATGATAAGCAGGATGACGAGTCTCAGCCAAAGGAAGTCCCTCGCTTTATGCTGTTTACTGAGACCAAGATTAAGCCTGTCGAGTATCGGCCGCCGCGCCAATATACAGGTCCTCCTATCCCTAAGATTATGGGGATTGAACCGATGTTCTTTCGGCCAAAACCGGTTGAGGTCAAGAAAGAATCACGGAAAGAGAGAATTCTGAAGGAGATCAGAAAGAGGTATCAAGTCAGGAAAGCCCGAGTGAGAGGCGTCGTGAAGAATCTTAGGAATATCAGAGCACTCAGGACGTTGCATGCACTGAAGGCCTCTGTGAAAGCGATGCGTAAGGATGCGCAAGAACGGCTCCTCGAGGTACGTGTTGTCAAGGATGTTTGTTGTGGCCTTGGGGAAGCTGAGTGGATGGCATACAGTGCAAGCCAATTTATCATATCAAGGAGATCAAAGAGCTCAGGCGAGCCTCGATGTTCCTTGGTTTCCCTAGGCTTCAGAAGAGACCGCTGTCAACTTTGTCTGTACGTGGATATACCTGAGGACTGTGGCCTGGGAAGACTCACTCTGAGAAGATAGGAAGCACCATCACACTCGGGGACTGTCGACGATACTCTGAAATCTCAGTATACAGCAGGGCAGCTGATTCTCCGAAGCTCGCAGAGCTTTTCGCAGAGGCTGGCACTAGTACACAGGTCGAAGACGGACCGGGTCCTACAATAGTGAATGAAGACGAGGACCGCACAGTGCGCCAGTCCCTGTTATTTTTCTCAGATGTCGCCTCTCTTATCCAAACACATCCAAATTTCAGAAATTCTGGTGAAGGCATCACCCAAACTGAGTCTTTCGCAACTTCTTCCTCTTTCCTTCAGCAACAGAGTAGTCGTCCACTTTCACTCTCTTCATCCATCCTTCAATATCAAACACTTTCCAATAACCTCGACGAGGTTTCCCCTCGATCTTCTTTCTCAGATACTTCATCTGACCTAACGATCACCCCCCTAAGAATCCAGAAAAGGGCCAGGATGCCACCTGAACCAGGTTCGGCGTCAAAGGATCCCTTTGTTGATTCTTCGACTGGTGGCAATCACACCGCAGATGACCCTGATAACCCGTCTCAGTCTCCAGTCTCTGAAGGTAAGACACTGCTGTACTGCCGTTTCCATGCTCATGACCGTTTTTACCCTTCTTTGACTCAGCAATGATATGCAAGAGCCGCTAGCTCAAGTCTGCGGTGGCTGAGTAACTTCATGACAACCGTCGTGTCTTTCCAGCTATCAGCGACTAAGACTTGTATTTAAGATGCTGACATGTGTTCGTACGCAGGTGTTGTGGAGAATACAGCAGAAAACGCTGCATTTACTGCAAATCCAGACCAGGACAGCACAATCTCATTTGACTCTGCAAGTCCTGAGGCTCTCAGTCAAGGTACGTATGTCCTTCTCGCTTGAAAGCTCTCCCTGACACTGCACAGACAAAAACAGCAAGAAACATACACCTCGACAGGCAAGCCGTGGAACTCGTATCCCTGCCCCGGCTTCCCCGTCTACTGGAGGAAACCAACAGAGAGGCACGCGAGTGACTTCTGAGCACCGTAGCTCAATCCCCGTCGCGGTCCGAAATGTTGGCACGGAGCATCAGAACATGCCTGAAGGTGGCTCCATTGGACACGAGGCTGGTGAGACCCGTGCCACTGAAAGTACTCGCAGGCCTCATGTGTCGCCTTTCCAACATCAAATCAATACTCTGTGGGGGTTTATACGAGATGAAGACATAGCAAACGAAGTTTCCCGCTACTCATCCACATCATCCTCCAGTAGCGACTGGGATGGTGATCAGGAAGACGCGGACGAGCTTGAGAGGCCCACCGGTTACACTGGCGATAATCGTCGGCCATTCGAGCGATCTGCTCAATGCTTCTACGGACCACGTCTGCAGATCGCGGCGTCAGCGGAAAATGTTATCATGGGCACCCCGAAGCTTTCTTCGAAATTGTCTCCTGATCTCAAAAGAGACGTCCCTCGTACTACTACACAGGGTAGCCCTCACAACGCACGCCTCGGTGAGCAGAGTTCGAGATCGGTTGAAGGAGGTCATGAAGCAAAGGCCATCCCTGCGGGAACCCCTGAAGCTTCTCGGAACTTTTGTCGGCCACGGCCTTCTCTTGAGAACGTCTCCAGAAGGGACTTCAGTGGACGTGAGCTTTCTATTCCACGAAAGCCTGTTGGTAGCCCAAGCTTGACCGATCTCCACAATCCCGGTTCGAATGTACTTCCGTCTCAGTACGTGGTGCCTACTGTGCCCAAAATTCCCCATGAACATAATGCGTTCTTGAACAAGGACAAAACTTTGCCTGAACCGAAAGCCGCGAGGGTCAAGGGGGCAGCAGCCGCTGATAGCCCGCATCCTACCCGGACGTCCTCGCTACAGTCGGTTTCCGCTAGCCAAGGAGAGTCTGCCATGACTACTCCTCGCACTCCTAATATACCACATTCAGCCGGCGCAACAGATTTGGAACGCACTGTGACTTTCGACGATATCGTGTTCGAAAACAAACATAGCGCACAGCGCGGAAAAGGCAGATTCCCCGACTCGAGGGGCAATCGCATGCTTGACAGCTTTCGCAACATCTTCAAGCATAAAAATGCTGCTGATAAAGCACGAATGAAGAACCAAGAGAGCACCGACGCTGCGGTAGAAGAGTCTGCAGACCAGGCACAAAGCGGCGCAGTCGATCGTGCTAGTAAGGATGATGGTAAATTGGAATCGGCAACGACCGCCTCTAACTCACGAATTAAGTCCCCCAGACTGCCCGAACGAGCTGGTTGGGGCAAGGGTGCTCGCAGCATTAGTGCGCCTATCCATGTCTCACCCGGAGCGTTCCCGACTGCTACTTCCTCATTATCTTCCATCCCGGCCCCTTCGCCACGTGTTTACGAAGAATACCAAACTCCCTCATTTGCTAGGCCTACCAAGTCAACGCGTACTAGAGCGGCCACAAACCCTAGGTTGCAAACGCCTGTTGCTGCAGATGGCCGCTCCCGGAGAACTTCAGCGATGGCAGCTTCTACTGGAAGCCCGCAGCGCTCGACCCGCGTTTCTCGTCATCTCAGATCAGCGACTGGATCCAAGAAGGCATCACAGGCCAAAAAGGTCGCAGAAGAACAGGCAGCGATCTCCGAGTCTCCAGGGGCTGCTTCTTCCCAGATAACTCATACCTCAAACACAGATTGGTTGAATCTTCCTAAGGAGCAGAAAGATGAGGAGATCTCTGCTTTTATTCCTCGGATTTTCCGAGAGATATGTGAAGAGACGGACAGGGATAAGAGAGCAGAGATGCTTCGGGTAAGTCTGCGTGCCGTTGTAGACCTCCTGTGACTGGGCCCTTCTCGCTAATGACGCGTACAGGAAACTCTCTCACTCAAGCATCAACTGGATACTGTGAACAACGCACGTGCGGTTGTTACAGAAGCCGAGGAGACGCTACGCAAGAAAATGGAAAAGAAAGCCGTTGCGGAGCGAGCTCTATACGAGAAGTTCCTTCAAGCTCGGACCAAAGTCGCCTCTTAGAGCGCCCAGGTTATGACTTGCACGACTGATGACGATTATGGAGTATCACTTTCACCTGATTGCTGTCTTATGACTGACGAATAAATGAGCAATGACATTCTTTGCTGTCTTGCGTTTTGATACCCTGGCCTCGGACATCGTTGAGTCGATTCGCACGTTTCTTTACTTATCTCTTTTTTGACCTTCGTTGAACCCTAACTCAGCCTTCATATGATGGTTTCCTTTTTGTTGGTTGATGCAGTTGCTCCTTCTGCTTGTCTGCTTCTGCTTCTTTGACGTTTCAACTGGGCAAAAACAAAAATCACAAAAAAAAGGCTTCTGTACGAGTGAACACTGCAGCCCGGGTCTTCTTGTTTTCCTTTTTGCTTTCAATGATGAATTAGAAAAGCCGCAAAAACACTAGAAAATTGAGGAAATTGGGCTTAGCCCTACAAAAGAACTGATTATGAGTAAATGCCTGTCTCATTTTCCGCTCGACGAGTACGGTAGTTGAGCTTCTGAACTGTTCTCAATGTGTTTCCACAAATGAATCGAACTGATGCCCATTAGAGGCATCAGCATCATTTGGCAGTGAGGATCCTCCTCACACGACCAGACAGAAAGAGGTAACTTTAAGGGCACAAAAGACAAGAGTCTCAGCTTTGTAGCGGCTTGTCTTTGCTGCAAGGTAGACATGAAGACAGAATCACAAAGAATTGTTATGCTTAGCTTGTTTGTTCATTCAAGTGGCTTTGCATAATGCCCTGCTGGCCAAAGGCTTTCGAGTTATTGTGAATGACCATTGACTGTCAGAGTGCAACAGATCCTTCACGTCGCCCTCTTCCTACCCAATACTAAAGGTGATGGCTACCCACAACTTCCCAACATCCTACTCTTGCTTCTTCAACTCGTCCTGAACTTTATCCTTCAGTATCCTCCATAACAAGCATCATGCGGAAGGAGCGTAGGAATCTGCGCTATCGGGTAAGTCTGTCTTTTCGAGTCTTTTCTCAACACCATCAAGTCAAACCTGCCATGACAGTCTCTTGTGTTCCGAGTCGCTAACATGGCCGAATGGCAGCCAAACAACCTTGGCAACACAATCAACACGACCAATTTTCCAGACCAGATGAGAGGCCGCACCAGCGATTCATTCCCATCCGTCCCTGTGCAAGACGCAGAACGTTTCTCTAGAGACCCGAGAGTTCCCTTCATTCCTCCTGAGCTCGCGCAAGCACAAGTCCCCAGACCCCGCATCAATGCGTTCAATAACCAGCCTCTGCCTTATCAGCATCATCAACCTGTGCACACCTGGGTTCCAGGCCTTCCGGGACCGGTCAATACCGGCCGACCCACCATGATCCCGCCCAACACAATGATGGCCACTCCCCCTGCTGTGTATGCGCAGCCAGGACCTGTCATGACCGGGCGCCCCGTCATGAATCCGGCTCACGCTATGATCAATAGTCCCCCTCTCGGTTATGCGCAGCAAGAGCCTTTCATGGGGCCCCATCCTGCCATGAATCCAACTCATGCAATGATGACTACTCCTCCTCCTATTCTTGCGCAGCGGATGAGGGAGCAAGTTGACCAGTACAAGATGATCCTGCATGACATTCGCAGGGCAAGCGGACGACTGGTAAGTTTGGTCACACTCATTGGCTCCCTCCTTCAATCGATTATTTCCACTCCGTTTGATACTGAAATGTTGTCGAACGCTAGGAGTTCGAACCAGCTCGTTTCACGCCTCACCCGAGTTTCACGGATTCGCCACCTCCAGAGATATACTCGCCGTCCTCAGAGGGAAAGAGTCCCAAGGAGGTGATGTTCGCCGAATCGACTCCGACCTCGAAGCTTCGTGGGGACGCGCCCGAGTTTGTTCCTGGTAAACCATACGAGGGTAAAAACCAGAAACCAAAGACTGATCGGGGATGGATGATCGTTTCTAGCACGTAGCTTGGGTGTTTCTCCTCTCAACATGTCGCAGGACTTTGACGAGGTCGCGAACGCTTGAGCTGTGCCGCCGAAGGTCCTGATTCAGCTCGGACGGCCCTTTCAAAAGCCTTTCGTCAATTATCAGGACTGTGGATTGCATGGGGCATGTATTTAGCCGTCCTTTAAGGATATTGAGTTGATCCAAATGCTATGCAGACATTTCTACTCTTCCCTGAACTGGCGCCTTGAGGGGATTTTTGAGCGGACATAAGGTAGTTTGGAATCTGTAGGCTTGTGTGACCATCTCATATATTTGCCGAACCTATGAGCTTCTTGTAGCATGTAATTCCCTTAGCTTCTGTATTCCCTTGGCCCTCGAGGACCAGAGCCAAGGTATAGATCCGAAGTCCGGACCTAGTCTGCCTGACGGAGCGGGCCGGCCATTCTTTTCTGGAAGGTCTCGACTTTTACCGTACAGCTTCCACAACTTCCGAGATCTTGCCGAACTGCAACCCGCCGTTTCCACAACACAACAACAGCTGAGCTCCGCACCCTAACTTGTATCCACTTGTTTGACAAAGTGTCAACTTGTTCGATTTCAATCTCTCTGACTGCTTTGAATTTCCTTCGCCCTCTCTCTGCCCATTAAGGCCATCCACATCCGTACGACCATACCAACTACCGAAGTATCCGTGAGCGTGTAACCGTCTAAGCTTCTCCGCAATCACTAGTTTGCGCTTTGGTATCGAGGATCTGCATGCTTACATCCTACACTGGAATAGTCCACTGGTCGCAGGGCATTATTTATGAGGCCCGAGTGCGGATCTATTGATTTCCAGAAGGCTGATTTGGCTGACTTGGCGAACCATGTGCGGGCACGTCGCTGTGATACGGACAACAGAGCTAGAGTCGAACTACACCGACAAAGCCGTCGGTCGAAGCGATTCGACGGATATCTACTTACTTAACAGAAACTATTAATCAATATGGATGTGTGATTCGATACTCTATCAGCCACAGACCCAGCGATCCGGTTTGCACAATATGGCTGAGCTAAGGAGACTCAGTTGGCTAGTGGAAGTGTGCAGCTAATGAATGTACTGGGCTGCATGTTCTTGCATCTGGAGTTCTGGACGAGGTCACACTACGCACAAATCGGAATTTTTGTCAGCCAGCCATGCCACTTGTTCAGAGATGAAGCGGGCGCACTGCAGCCTGGTAAGCCTCTTCGGAGGTTATAAACAATGGATTCCCGCTGTTGCATTATGTCCCACATCGTTGAATTTACGCTGAGTTGACATCAGCTCAGTCGTCGACATGGGCTCCTTTCGCGATGGACTAGCTTCCTTAGCCCTGCTTTTGCTATGCTTTGTTTCATGGGGATCCGCTAGTGTGGTACGCTTCAAGGTCACTCTGACATGGGAGGACTGGGCTCCAGCTGGTATTGCTCGGAAGATGATTCTCACCAACGGCCAATTTCCAGCTCCGCCATTGTACTTGCGACAGGGCGATGATGTTGAGTTTCTGGTGGATAATCAACTTCCCTTTGCTACCGCAGTCCATTTCCACGGTAAGCCTGTATAATAACAACAATTGCTAGTCAAGGCTGACACCTCACCTAATCAGGCATTGACCAAACGGGAACGCCTTGGTCCGATGGAGTTCCTGGTCTTTCGCAGGGACCAATCCCGTCCGGCAGCAGTTTTCTTTACAAGTGGAATGCAGGACAGTATGGCAGCTATATGTATCATGCTCACAGCAGAGGGCAGATTGATGATGGCTTATACGGAGCGATTTATATCCGTCCTGATGACGAAGTGGAGAAGCCCTTTCGGTTGATAAGTACTCGTACGCGTGAAGTCAAGGCCATGCGTCGAGCCGAAGCAAGAACAACCCCCATAGTGCTGAGTGACTGGCGCCAGTTGACTTCCGAGGAGCTGTGGCATGCGGAAGAGGCAACTGGACTAGACGCATATTGTGTGAATGCGTTATTAGTCAATGGAAGGGGCTCGGTACAGTGTCTGGACCGAAATACCTTGGATCGGTATAGTGCGGCAAAGTGGGCATTTCTGGGAAACTCTTCGCTGACTGATATTGGGTAAGTGAAAGAAACACGGCACTTCCATTCATCAATTTTGAAGCTGACTTTCCAGCTGCGCGCCCCCGACGATTCCTCTGCTCGAAGGAAATTCTCCACACAACTTTAGTGCCACTCCACCGACAGTGTTTTCCGGCTGTACTCCGTCTCAGGGCTCGACCGAGCTACTTCTGGTTGATCCACACGCCTTGTACGCCAGCTTTGACCTGATTAGTGCTACTAGTGTGTCAATGCTCACTTTCTCAATCGACGAACATCCCATGTATATATACGCCATCGATGGAAGATACATCGTCCCGGCTCCAGTGGATGCCATCACCATTGCCAACGGAAACCGTTATTCAGTCATGGTGAAGCTGGATAAACCAGCTGGTGACTACACCGTGCGTATAGCGAACGCCGGAATCAACCAACTTATTACTACCAATGCGAGCATGTCTTACGACACACTTTTCAAAGCTCAATCGCGTCCTTCGCAACCATCGATCGACATCACCGGCGCAAACACAACAGCGGATGTCGTAATATTCGACGAGAGCATGGTGACCCCTTTCCCTGTGGAGGTACCGGCGCAAGAGGTTGCCCAGACCTTCTTCCTAGACGTCGGCCGGTTTAACGTGTCCTACCGCTGGATTCTTGGAAACTCGAGCTTCCCGCTCTCTGTGGAGGAATCGCCTCCACTTCTGTTCAATCGCTCCGCTGCCAAGCCCGATCTCTCGATTTCAACTCGTAACGGAACCTGGGTCGATCTCATCTTCAGAGTGACTGGACCTTTACAGCCACCACATCCTATTCACAGGCACTCGAACAAATTCTTCGTCATTGGTCAAGGAAATGGAGCCTTCAACTATGCTTCCGTGGCTGAGGCGATGAAATACATTCCGGAAAGCTTCAATTTGAAGGCCCCGCAGATACGGGACACATTCGCGACGCCTCCCAGTGTATCTGGACCCACTTGGTTGGCCATAAGATATCAAGTAGTCAATCCCGGCGCGTTCTTGATTCATTGTCACATTCAGGTACATCTGAGCGGTGGTATGGCGCTGGCAATGTTGGACGGCGTAGATAAGTGGCCTGTGCACATTCCCGAGGAGTACCGGCTCGCTGCCTCGGGATCATAGTCATGGAGGTGACATATGTTTGCGCTTGGATGTTTTGAGCTCAGCCTTACAGCCACATGCAGGTAGTTTTCGAGGCTTCGAGAAGATACATGATTGACGAGAAATGATTATATAGAGCGTGGACTTTCTTGGCCAACTAGATCTCGGGCAAGTAAGTTAATGGATACCCCGCGCAGGTTACCCCTTACTTGTATCAGAGATCGACCTTCATGTACTCCGTAGTCTGACATTTGTAACTCTGTAAGGTACTCAAGACAGTTGACCGGAAACTCGAAAACAGAGTCACGGCCGTGGTGATAAGTGATAACCTCGGGAAACCGCCGAACTTTAAGTTTAACCCCACAACTTAGCCAGATGGGGTCGTGTGGGGTCGTGCACTCATGGTGTCTCCTGAAGTTTCAGGAACCGGACGGACCGTGACGGGAATCCCCCCTCTTGAAGCATCTCGATTCTATCGTGGTTCATGGTAGTAGTGAGCACGATCTTCCATCTCCATAAACTATTCTCAACGACCGCGATAGCTTTACCCTAGCACTTGGAAGGTTTCAGACCATACACTGTGACCGGCCTTCTCCGCTGTGCCCGCCGGTGGTACCACTTGCTCGCACAGCTTACTTATTCAGGAACGGGTCTCTGCATCCACGAACTGTACCTGTGCGACCAAATAGAACAGCAAACTATTGGCTCACTATGGTCTTCTGTGGGAAACCCAGCAAAGGATGCGGCCAATGCCGATCGAGGAAGATCCGGTGCGACCAAGAACGGCCTGCTTGTTCGCAATGTCTCAAAGGCAACAGGGTCTGTCCCGGCTACCGAGACGAGCTGTCGTTGATGTTCCGCGATGAAAGTCAACAGGTTGTCCGGAAGGCTCGAAACAGTGCTGCCGCGCGCAAGTCCAAAACACAGGCAAGGAAGGCGGCCAGGCGCACCCTTTCGCCGAGTGAGAGTAGTCCGGAGTCCACATCCGGTGCGACGACGGTCTCGGTCAGCCGGAGTAGTGATGTGATTGACTTCGGCGATGAGAGCCCGGTGCAGACTGAGTTGATTGAGCGGCAGCCGTTGACGAGGATCCAGCCGTCGTACCAGACCACGCAGGATGAGGCGGTTTGTTACTTCCTTCGGTACAACCGGTGGCCTGGGTTTCACTGGATGATAGACCTGAGTCCCGAATTTCTTGCCAGCTCGGGCTTTTCCGTGAGCCACGAGGCTATGAAAGCGAGTGTCGGTGCTGTGGGGACGGCGATGCTTGGACGGGTCCGGCAAGACACGTCGATGATTATCGCTGCTGGAGCGGAATATGGGTTCGCTTTGCAAATGTTAGCATTCGCTGTCTCAAATCCAGCAGAGGTGAAAGCCAATTCGACACTGGGGGCGGTCTTGATGCTGGCAATTTTCGAGGTAAGCGGCCTTGATGTCCTCTCTTTTCTGCACATGGATGATGCTCAGACGTACTTCCAGGTCGTTACCAGCCGGACAACACAAAATATTGAAAAGTGGACAAACCATCTTCGTGGAGCCGCGGCTATTCTTGAGCTGCGCGGTCCAGAACAAGTACAGAATGAAGAGGGTCTGAAGCTGTTCGTCCAGCTGCGATTTCAGATAGTGCGTGATTCGCTGGCTCCTGCAGCTTGACGAATGACAGCTAACACTCGCAGATTACCAGCTGCTTACAGCTCAGCGTACACGTGCCGCCGTCGGTGCTCGAATGTGCACCACTTGGCATGTTTCTCCGCCCACAGACAGACGCTTACGGTGATCGCCTGATATACATCGTAGGCCAGTTGGCCAACCTCCGCGCCGACGTCAGACAAAAGTACATGACAGATAACCAAGAGATTCTAACAGCGGCCTACGACATCGAGGCAGAATTGCTAGCCTGGATTGCATCTCTTCCTCCGGACTTTTCATACACCACCGTCGAGAATACGTACTCCGAGGCAGAGTTCAAGAGACTCTGTCGCGGCATACTCCCATACAACAATCAATACCACGTCTACAGCGATCTCTGGATCTGCCATACATGGAACCAGTATCGTTGCGCGCGCATCATCGTCTCCGAAATGATACTGAGCTGTCTGCGACGACTGCATAGCAAGTCAGCGGGCGCACGCGCTACCAGCGAACTGCAAGGTCACTGCTTCAGCATCCGCAGCATCACGCGGCAGTTGGCTGCGGATATCTGCGCCAGCGTACCCTACCATTTCGGCGTTGGCAGTACAGGTGAGAGTCAGACAAGCTCTGTCCCCCTCAATGAGAGTCACACCGCAGGGCTCGTGCTACTGTGGCCGCTGGTCATGGCCGGTGCAACCGAGGGAAAGAACCACCCTGTGCGCAAGTGGGGCATTGACTGTCTGCGGCTCATCGGGCACGGTATGGGGATCGATCAGGCCCTTGCTTTGATTGATGTTCTAGAAACCGAAGCGGGGGTCTTTGACGGCGTGGGCGATGACGGAGTGCTCATAGAGGAGAAGAGCTCCGCCATTGTGAAGAACAAAGTTTTGGCAAGTGCTTGGAAGCATTTGGAGGCTGAATGACTGCTTCCTTTATGAGGGGGATTTGATTGAACCTGGGTGTATAGTCTGGGCGATCTGGCGTATTGGGTGGACGGTCCTGTGTATCTCGTCAGGCGCCTTATCAGATGATTTATGCTGTACATGACTGAAATGACACATTCATATACATAATACACCTCGTCCATATTTCATAAAGCTTAGATCGAGCCTTCTGGTGGACTGCACACCCTGGTTTCATTTGTTCCTGAGGCAGCTACACAGCCTTGCCTAACTACGGTTGCGGGGGGCAGTGCTGCAAGGCTTACCTGCTGCACTCCATATACGGGAGCAAGGGTCACTATGACTTAGTCACAATAATTGACTACGCGACTCAGCCTCATTGTATTCTGGCACGTCCTTTATCTAGCTTGGGTAGTGGTTCTTATCTTGGTCCCTGCATCCGGGGTTTAGCCCTCGTATTACCGTCTAAGGCTTGATCCTAGATTATGACTCTCTAAGCTCAGCCTTCTTAGCCTGGCGTACAGATAGTTTTCTTTGTGGTAATATAACGACAGGATAGTCTTAGTCTGCCTTGTAGATGCCTTCATTGTTCGTTATACTAAGGGTCATGAGGAGATATAAGAAAGTAGTATTCGCACCTATGCAAGAGAACAAACAAGGAGATCATAGTTGACAGATCTGTAGAACTGTGGTTGAGACCGCCTGTTCAGTGAGTTCTGACTTCATTCACAACCAAGAAAAGGCATCATACCTTCCCTCTTTTGTGGGCCGATTGCATACCACCAGCATCGTCCGGACCCCAATTTCAATGCTGCTTCTCTTTGGAAGATTCAAGTCTCGATCTCCTCCCCCTCTTCATTCTCCTGGTGAATCTCTTGCGCCGGAATCTCTACAGCACCAGTCCCCACCCGCGTATACTATCAACGACAATCCAGAAGTCACGATGGGCCATCGTCACTCCAGAGTAGCAGGCAGTTCAAGCACCTCGGCCCCAAGAATGACCACCTACCAGGGAACGCAGTCAACTCCCCACAAGGGAAACACCTACGTGCAAACCAGAAACGTCGACGTCTGGTCTCCGCCTCCCTACACCCCGCAAGCACCAGCACCAGCCGCACATACACCCGGCTCGACAGCCTCCTTCAACAGCAGCACAGGCGACTCACCGTACGCCTTCCTCCGCGAGTTCGACACAATCTTCGTCGTCGACGATAGCTCCAGCATGCTCGGCGCGCGGTGGAAAGAAGCCGAGGAGGCCCTGGCCGCCATCGCGCCCATCTGCACGCGGTACGATCAGGACGGAATCGACATCTACTTCCTCAACCACCGCCGCGAGGCAACAGCCACCTCCACGGGCGCATACCACAACATCACCACCGCGGCAGACGTGCAGGAGATCTTCAACAGCGTGCGGCCGCGCGGGCCAACGCCCTACGGGAAACGGCTGCTGCAGATCCTGACCCCGTACCTGCGGCGCGTGGAGAAGATGGCGGCCGCGACGGATGAGGACGGCAACCTGCGCGATCCGGCGCGGTTCGTGAAGCCGTTGAATATCATTGCGATTACAGATGGGGTGTTTACAGATGATGCGGAGAGTGTGATTGTGGAGGTTGCGAAGCGGCTGGATGCGTGTCGCGCTGTGCCGTGGCAGGTGGGTGTCCAGTTCTTTCAGATTGGAGACGATGAGGTGGCGAGGAGGTATCTGGAGGATCTGGACGATGAGCTGGGGCATATGGCTCAGGAGAATAATCTGAGGGATATTGTCGATACGGTGCCGTGGAGGGGGAGCGGCGGGCAGACGCTGAGCGCGGAGGGTATCCTCAAGTGCACGATGGGTGCTGTGCATAAGAAATACGATAAGCGGAAGGCGTTTTAGCCAGTTGTGTTTTCTTGTTTGACGAGATCGCTACGTGGTGGCTCTTTGCTTTTGTTATTCTGGTGGCGGTTTCATTAGCTTGAGGGCGGCTATTTTGTTTCCAGCTTGGACTTGACGCACCTATCTAATACGTCTACCTCCTGCTAGCAGCGTGAATTGAGCAGGTAGATTTTAATGTTTATTCTGGCCAGGACATTCCAGGAGAGCTAATGAGCTAACAGGTATCGTAATCATCCCAGACAAGCTCGTCCCTCACATGTGAGTAAGCGCCACACTGTTCGAATGTGAGCAGGATCCTGTTCATATTGAACTGGCAATTAATCGAACAAGGTCGGTATCTGAATACATGTGGAATGAGGTAAAAGGAAAAATCTTCCGTACTCGTATTGCTCGAAGATTTTGGTTGAGTCCATTCAGCCATCACTAGAGAGCGGGACCCATCCGCCATCTCCGAACTATTGAAGATGATCCATGGGAATCGAGATCACGATATTCCTTCAACTCGCAACCTTCGGGCATACTGTGTACATCAGTGACTTGCAAAATCCCACGGTATCGATCCCTTACCGGAGTACTCGCAGGAATGACAGAAATAATTATCAGAACGTCGT